TCGCGGAGATCCGGGCGGGAGCGGTCCTGGTCCGACGTGCGCGCTGTTCCCGGCTGCCCCGAGTGTTGTTTTGGGGATTGCTCCCAGCCCCGTATCCCGCGCTGCTCGCATTTTTTTCCACCCAAGTCTGTTTCCCCCGAGCAGGAAGCCTGTGGATTTTGCAGTTCTTGCTTTGACAGGTTGTGCTTCCGACTTCTTTTTTCCCTCTTGTTTTTGAGCTACTGCCTTTCGGTTGTCGTAATTTATTAACCTTTTTTTTTAATTTCAGCCTTCCAGTTATAGTTCTCCTTTTTTTTTGTTGTTGTTCTTTTTTTTTTTTTCAGGCTGATACTGACCACACACAGATAGTTCCTTTTTAAAATTGGACGTCCTCTGCTTTTGCAAGCCCTTTAATTGCCTGCTTCCTGTTTGACCTAAGTGTAGCTTAAAAACTGGCTTCTCTTCCAGCTCGTTTCCAGTAGGGAGATGTCTGTTGCTGCTGTGTTAACTGTTTGTTTAACAATTACTAGGGAGGTGGCTGTAGGCAGTATTGCGGCATGAATCCTCGCACTCTGCTTGCGCTCAGGGACAACTCTTCCCCGTTGCTCTGATCCTCCCCCCATTTATTTCCAAGAGCGACAACTAGGGCAGCAGCTTAAATCCATAATGACCAGATGACTATGGGAAGGTACTCATCCCTAAATTCTGGAGATCAGAAAAGTGTTTCATGTCTAGTTAACTCACTCACACACTTGAGAACAACCAAGTACCAGGCAACTAAAATATCAGGACCAGCTGTTTTGTAGAATAATAATAAAGGGGGCCTCCCTTTAAAGCTCCTGATCTGCAATGCATAGCGAACAAGTGGACACCTACTGGCAAGAAATGCAAAATCAGTAGGAAGGGAGACTTGATCTTTCTGGTAATCATGTGCTGCATTTCTCTTAGAATAAGTTTATCCTTCATGAGAAACTTGTCTAGATGTAAAATTATCTATTTCATGTTGCTGTAGTTTTAGGGTATTAACTTGCTTTTTTTTTTTAAAATAAAATTTTAGAAGTACTCAGTCACATCTTATAGAGTTAAGCGTGATAGCTCACGTGCTTTTTCTCTGAAATAAGGATATAAACTAGTTCTACAATAACCCTTAACACTTCAAAGAAGCATTAGTCAAAACTTATTTGATTTCCTGTCCAGTAAAGTTGCATTCTTTCACTTAAAGAAGTTAACCCTGTTCTTGAAAGAGGTGATATCTTTTATTAGACTGACAAGACAGTTGCAAAAAAAGAAATTCTTAATTTTTTTGCAACTGTCTAGTCGGTCTAACAAAAGATGACCTTAGCTAGCAAATTTGAGTGCTTTCAACTACACACTTAGAGGAAACATAAAGGCCAAAGGATTTTTGCCTACACTTGAATCCCTTCGCCACATAACAAGGCAGTTAGCTGTGTCAGTCTCTAAGGTGCCGCCCTGTCTTGCCATCTGCCCGATTTCAGACAATATCTCATTCAGACCAATGGGTTTTTAAGGAACAGCCTACTTCATCAGATGCTATGATGTGTTCTTCCATAAGAAACAAGAGATTGTGCTGACCGTTTGCTTTCTACATGTTTTTCCTTTCTTCAGTTGCATTCAAACACCATATTAGTAGTGTTTAAATATTGCGTTAACCCTCACCTAACTGATGAAACGTCACGTCCGCTAAAAGAGTACTGGGTAGCCAGTGATTGTTGCTGTGCTGTAGCCACAAAAGAGAAAAACCAGACTTGGCTAGTTGCACAGTTACTTACCAGATGGAGCTGGATGGTGGGAATTGTGATTCCTGGTTTTTTTTAGTAGTCTTGAAGAGCATGATTGTGCTGCCAGAATAGGCGACAGAGACTGGATTCCAGAAAGGCATCTTGTTCTTTTAATCAAGACCAATGTCCAAAGCTTTTATGGTGGTGCAGGTGCTATAGCTGCTTAAAACTATGGTTTAAAAAAAAAATTACTCTGGCAAAGCTCATCAGCTGTGTCTTCCCCTGCATCCCTGCAGGCACTCAAGTGTTTACTTCTCAGCTCTTGGCTCTGTCACTCGCAGCCCTGTGTCACTTGGGCAGTTTCTTTGCAGTTGACAAGGGCGCTATATCTGATTTCTAAAGAAGAACCAGCTTGGCAGAAGTTAGGGACTTTCTACCAAGTCCTCATGGAAGAGGGAAGGGAGTATTGCATGGCCCAGCAAGTGGTGTGAACTGTCTATTGCCTGTTTCTCCGCTCTTTGTGGCAGAAGCTGTTTCTTCCATGTTGCAAAATGTCTGGCTTGTAACAAATTTCAAAGTGTAGGCCTAGCTCATAGCTCCTGAGTAGGGATGACCCCTTTTCTGACAAGCTGGCTTCTGATTAGGGCTTCTGCTGGCATCCGTTTGAGAAACATTGTATACCTGGAATAGGTACAGAGGGAGGGCTGCTAGGATCATCAGGAAAAGAGAGCCAGTTGAGGAGAGAGACTCGAAGAGCCTCATTGGTTTTAAGATGGAGCTTTTAGCAGTTGCCTGAAATGGTTGTAGTACCATGGACTCCATGGCCCCAGGAAGCCTTTGGTCTGGCTTCTAAGATGTCAAACTTCAAGATTTGCAGGCACTTGCTGCTCCCGGAAAGGAAAACGAGGGTGTGGTTTAGAGGCAGGTCCCTTCCTCCACCACCTTCTTGCTCACTAGTGTTTGTGTGCATGCTCTCTCTGCCTCTTCCTCTTCCCCAAGAAATGCTTCAGTGCCAGCTGCTGCCCGTAGTAGCAGACAGACAGTGACTTGATTCACAGTTGCTGGGAGGGTTTGAATAGCAGCTCTGAGCCCCAGTGGTGTCTTGTCAGTCCCACTGCCACTGTGCAGGGAAGTGAGCTTGGGAGGATGGTACTATTCATAGCTGGAAAGTTCCCTCCAGTCACAAGCACTTTCAGCCTTTCTACAGGCTCGAGTAGTTTTGCAGAAACTGAAGCCGTGGAGATCTCTACCAGAGTTGCCTTGGGTCACCAGTGCCCCTTTGACTAGAAGCTTTTGAAGACAGTACATGCTAACCAAATAATTTAGATTACAAAAGCCTAAAGTTATTCTCTTCATGCGCCTGACTAGGCGGTGTTTTGAATGGTGGTAGCAGAAAGAGCCCTGACCTGCAATCTTGGCAGGTTTTCCAGTTCTCTGCAAAATAACTTTATTTTTCTGAAATCTGTCAGTGGATGTCAGTGGTGTTTGACCCTTCAAATAGGCCAGGACCCATAGCTGTATCAGGAATAATCTTTTTAGTTAAGATACTGCTTTCCAAAGGTATTAATGTTGAAGTTATAAAGGTTGAAGTAGAGAGAAACTAGTTAATGCAGAGCTTTAATAGAATTATTTACATAGTGCTGCCAGCATACGTTGCTTAGGGTTGAAAGAGCAACTGATCTCTGTTCAGAGGAGCTCACTGTCTAAAGGCATAGATGGCATAACGTGGTCTCTGCCATGACGGGATTACTAGATACTACGGTGCTAGTCATAGTGCAGATCATATAGTTGGAAGAAGTAGTACAGCTAAGGGCTGCCTGGGGGAGAGCCTGGCACTTAGCTTCCTAACTATGAGGATATGATGAAATGTCTAGATTTGGCTGGAGAAATACTTTCCCATTAGGTTGGAATGGGTTGCACAATTCCAGCTGCTAATCAGCTGCTGGCTTCATGGTAAATGCTTATTTTCCTGTTACTTGGCCCAAGACTCACAAGTTGTCAGCTAAGACATTTTGCTTTCTTGATGAGATTTGATTAGTACCATTATACAAATCTAAATTTTAATATGACTAAAACTCTTTAGGCCTCTTTTGTTCTGGCTTTGGAAAAAAAAAAAGATTCTGCTATCATTATATACCTCCTTTTGAAATGCATTAAACACTTGAACTGGCAATTTTGCTACCATTTTAAACTAGGAAGCACATTCCTTCCTAGCTTGGCTTAGATTTTTTTTTTTAATGTATACATTACCAAAGAGACAGTAATTCAGTCACTACAGATGATACCATGTGGCATCTTACTAATACAGAAAATGGGGACTACACTGATCTCAGCCTATAAAAGACTGAGAAGCTACATGGTATCGGAGACACCAGCACACTAACATCTTACAAGCAGAGTTTGCGGATGTATTCAGCGTGCTGTCCAAAAACATTGCTGACTGTTGACCTAACGTTATTCACAACTGTTTAGAGAACTCATTAAGTGCACACAGCAGTGTCACGCTGCACTACCCGATTATGTATATGGTGAAGATGTACGGTTTTGTTGCAATAATTCCAAATGCATCAAATCCTAAAAGACTAAACTTGTGAATTTATCTGCAAAACAGCTGTAGTATAAATTGAACTTAAGAGACAGGAGCTGTTTGGGTAATGTAACTCCCAATTTAATGTCACTTCCTAATTTAGGAATAGGATACACTGGTTCTTCCACTCAGATTCACAGATGCTTACTGCTGGAAGGGGCCTCGTGAGATTGTTGGGTCCAGCCCCCCTGCTTGCAGCAGGAAAGACAACTGGTGTCAAATAACCGCAGCAGTGTGTGCATCCACTCTCACTTGGGTGCATTTAGTAGGGTTAGTTCATCTCATTTTGTTGGTCATTTTGTTTGTTTCTTTTTCAAGTTCAAGGTCATTGGAGAATTGACAGTGGAATAATGCAGTAGGCATCCTTGTGTTTGTTGTTCATGGACAGACTTGTATACAGCTCCATTTACTTATATGAATAGACTAACTGAGTATGTATAAAGTTAAAACTGTTTGTGCTCCCATGCATCTTCTTTCTATATCAGATGTTGGGTTTCTTTGCCTCTTGATGACTGCTTAACTTGGTTCTGACTTAACTAGTATTGAAGATAATCATTAACCTTTATGAACTATTGCAAATGCTTTTAGAACTTGAGTCTAATGGTTTTTTCAGCTTTATCTTTATTGTGGTTTTCTCTTCTGTAGAATGGAATAAGTTGGTACAGTTAATGAGCTGGCGGAGTCTGTTTTTTAATGATAAACTGTAGCTCAAACACTACCAGAATCTGTTGGGTTTGGAAAGGTAGATGCATGGAGGCGAGTCCAGAGCTTTAGCAAGCATCTGTTTTACAGATATAGGGCAAAATCTAGGTTATAGGAAATGCTACTCTACAGAGAATAGGGATGCCAGAGTCCCACAGTAGTAATTATCAAAAGGCTCTATGGAGCAACTGAGATCTCATAGCTCAACTTAATTGCATGTAATGTTGTTTTTCATAGTACTGTAGCTTTGCACTTCATAAGCCTTTAAGGCTTCAAGGGTGTGTGTACTGCCTGCAGCAGAAATGCTATCAAATGCATCTTAACACTTGCTGAGGTTGGCTGTGGTCTAAGTCAGTGGGTTTTCAACCGTTTTTGTACCAGGACCCATTAGTAAACATCAGC